GCTTGTTTATAATGGCGCGCGCAGTTTCAATCCTAGCGACCTCATTGACAATAATTACCATTCAGATGCTGCGCTCTCTCCGGAAGTTCGACTCGCTCGATTATGGTTCGCTCCCGGGCACGCTCTCGGATTCGAGGGGCCGCTCAACATGATTATCTCCCCAAGCTCGAAGCAAATGACAACACGAACGCGCTTCGGAAGATGGAGCCGACATCAAGCGTTGACATTGATCGTCTCGCCCCTTTGGACTGCGTGGGCCGCGCGTTTCGCCTGGACGAAAGCAAAAAGCGCGGGCCAAGCGGAGTGTCTGGGGCGCCCCTGGAGCTTCCCGCCAACCGCGATCTAACGCGGCTGACTGGGGCCAGGGCGCACCCCCGACCTTCCCGCCGGCTCCGTGCCTTCGCGCTCGGCGGAGGCCCTGGAAAAGAGTGCGCAGCCCCCAACGGGCGTCCAGCGTTCTACTCGCAATGTCTCGCGCCACGTGCCGTGCCATGCGCGAGCTGCGGGGTGCGCTGAGTCGCTGGCAGACCGCTGGGTCCCGATTTCTATAGATGGTCCAGGGCTTGGGCCCCCCCCCCAATGCTGATGCCATTGGCCCCCCCCCCCCCCCACCCGCGCGATGGTCCCACCCGCCCCCCCCTGTGGGCGTGGCGTGGTGCTGCGCTGCGGTGCCCCCCTCCCCCCCCCTGTGGATGTGGTGTGGTGCTGTGGTGGTTCAGAGGTCGTTGTCGTCGTCGTCGTCGTCGTCGTCGTCGTCGTCGTCCTCGTCGTCGTCGTCGTCGTCGTCGTCATCGTCGTCGTCGTCATCGTCGTCATCGTCGTCGTCGCCGTCGTCATCGTCGTCATCGTCGTCGTCGCCGCCGCCGCCGCCAGCGTCGTCACCGCCGCAGCCGTCGTCGTCGCCGTCGTCGTCGTCGTCGTCGCCGTCGTCGTAGTCGCCGCCGTCGTCGTCGTCGCCGCCGCCGTCGTCGTCGTCGTCGTCGTCTCTGGGACCATATCATCTGGGGGGGGGAGGCCCGAGGAATCCTGGGACCATACCATCTGGGGGGGGGGGGCCCGTGAACCCTCGACCCTGGATCATATATGGTCGAGGGTTTGGGCTCCCCCCCCAATGCTAATGCCATCGGCCCCCACCCCCCGCGCGATGGCCCTCCCCCTGTGGGCGTGGGCGTGGCGTGGTGGCTCCCCCCCCCCCTGTGGATGTGGTGTGAGTGTGGTGTGTTGCTGTGGGTGTGTGCGGGGTGACGCCATGGTCCTCCTCCCCCACTCCCTCCTCCCCTGTGGGTGCGGTGTGGGTGCGGCGTGTGGCTGGGATTGGCGTCAAGTTGACAGCTCCTGTGCTCGACGTCGTCGCCGCCGCCGCTGGTGGTGCCGTCGACGTCGTCGTCGTCGTCGTCGTCGTCGTCGGTGTCGTCGTCGTCGTCGTCGTCGTCGTCATTGCCGTCGTAATCCTCCTCCTCCTGCTCCTCCTCCTGCTCCTCCTCCTCCTGCTCCTCCTCCTCGTCGTCCTCCTCCTCCTCCTCCTCCTCCTCCTCCCCCCTCCCCCATCCCATCTGGGGGGGCCCGAGGACCCGGAGCCCGCGATCATATATCGGTTATTTCAAGCTCCCCGTGTTTGCCTGGAGAGCCCGCGCCGCGCGGATGGTGGCGGTTATGCGGTCGAAAAAAGAGCAGGAGGAGGAGGCTGAGGAGGATGAGGAGGAGAGGAGGAGGTTAGGAGAGGAGAAGATAGGAGAGGGGAGGAGAGGGGAGGAGAGGAGAGGAGAGGAGGAGGCGCGGGGACTGTTTCTTCAAAACCAGGACCCAATACCACAAGATGGTTGGGGAAAAATGTGGCGCTTGCCTACGTGCCGCGCACTTTCGTCTTGAACATATTGCAACTGCTTCACGGATGGAGGGCGTGTCCTTGTCAAAATGTGACTCTCGCATTCGCGGCGCGAGTCCCGCAGTTGTGGGTGTCGTCTTCGGCGGAGCTCCCTATGGGGCAACGAAGCGCTGTACTGGGTGGGGTGGGGGGGACGCATGCGAACTTTGCCACTGGGACATTCGGTGGAGCTCCCTATGGACCACGAAGAACTGTACTGGGTGGAAGCGAACTTTGCCATTGGTGCCTTCGGTGGAGATTCCTATGGGGCAACGAAGCGCTGTACTGGGTGGGAGAGACGCATGCGGACGGTTCCACCTTCGGTGGAGCTCCCTATGGGCCACGAAACGTTGTACTGGGTGGAGGAAACGCATGGTGACTTTGCCACTGAGGCCGTCAGTGGCTCCCTATGGGGCCACGAAATGCTGTACTGGGCTGGGGAGACGCATGTGGACTGTGCAATTGGGACCTTCAGTGGAGGTCCCTGTGGGGCCACGAAACGCTGCACTGGGTGGGGGGGCGCATGCTGAGAGTTCCACTGGGGCCTCCCCCTATGAGGCTGTCGAGCGCTGTACTGGGTGGAGGAGACGCATGCGGACGGTGCCACTGGAGCCTTCGGTGGAGCTCCCTATGGGGCCACGAAGCGCTGTCCTGTGTGAGGGAAACGCATGCGCGCGGTCCCACTGGCGCCACGAAGCGCTGTGCTGGCTGGGGGGGACGGGTGAGGGCGGTAGCACTTGGACCTTCGGTGGAGCTCCCCATGGGGCCACGAAACGCTGTGCTGGGTGGGGGGGACGCATGCAGGACGTAGCACTGGGGCCGTCGGTGGAGATCCCTATGGGGCCACGAAGCGCTGCACCGCGTGGGGGGGCGCATGCGGGCGGTAGCACTGGGGCCGTCGGTGGAGCTCCCTATGGAGCTACGAAGCGCTGTACTGGGTGGGGGGGGGACGCGTGCGGGCGGTAGCACTAAGGCCGTCAGTGGAGCTCCCTATCGGGCTATAAAGCGCTGTTCTGGGTGGGGGAGACGCATGCGTGCAGTAGCGCTAGGACCCAGTGGAGCTCCCTCTGGGGCCACGAAACGTTGTACTGGATGGGGGGGCGCATGCGGGCGGTAGCACTGGGACCTTCGGAGGAGCTCCCCATGGGGCCACAAAGCGCTGTACTGGGTGGGTGGGGGGGGGGGACGCATGCGGGCGGTAGCGCTGAGACCTTAGGTGGGTGGGGGGACGCAATCGGGCGGTAGGACTAGGGCCGTCGGTGGAGCTCCCCATGGAGCCACGGAAGGTTGTACTGGGTGGGCCGTCGGTGGAGCTCTCCCTGTGGGGGAGGACGAATGCGCGCGGTAGCACTTGGAGTTTCGGTGGAGCTCCCTATGGGGCCACGGGACGCTGTATTGGGTGTGGGGGGGGACGCATGCAGGCGGTAGCACTGGGGCCGTCGGTGGAGCTCTCTATAAGGCCACGACATGTGTACAGGGGGGGGGGACGGATGCGGACGGTAGCACTTGGACCTTCGGTGGGGCTCCCTATGGGGCCACGAATCGTGCCAATGGTGTGCCAAAGTGAGGGGGGTGACGGGAGGAGGGAGGAGGGGGAGGAGGAAAGAAGGAGGGAACGCGGGGCCATGTCTCTTCAAAACGAGGGCAGGTTGGTTGGGACAAGTGCAAACAAGTTTCTCAGATGGGGAGCGGGTCGTTTCCAAACTGTGGATCTCGCGTTTGCGCCGCGCCAATTCGTCGACACGCTTGCGTGAGTGCCAAAGGTAGAAGGCAATTCCATACCAAACTGTGGCTCTCGCCTTTGCGCCGCGCGCATTCGTCCCCACACTGTGCAGCAAATTCACGAACTCGTACGGTTAGTCTCAAGAATGGCTTTCTGGCCCGAATAAAACTGTCAAGGTGAGGAATCACGTCGAGTCGCGGTGTTGAAGTACCCGGAACGGCGCTCTGGCATTATTTTGGACTGTCAAGACGCAACAGCTCCCTTCATCCGCGGCGTTGAAGTCCCAAGAGCTGTGCTTTGGCACGGGTGAAGATTCTCAGACGGCTGTCTTCGAATGGGGCACTTCCCGCAATGAAGATACATTATTGTAGGGACCTATGTAGACAGAACTTTGGGGGAAGGTTTATTGCAACATCATTGATGCGTCGTGAGTTTGCACTGGCACTCCTCCTCCTCCTCCTCCTCCTCCTTCTCCTCCCTCTCCTCCCTTTCCTTCACTCTTTCCTGTCCTCCCTCTCATCCCTCTCCTCCCTCTCATCCCTCTCCTCCCTCTCTTCCCTCTCCTCCTCCTGCTCCTCCTGGGAAAAAAAGCCTGGGGGCGCCCGAGTGGGTCCCCAACCCCCGTCACCAAGGCGGACTCCTGGGCATTGGGTTGATGGTCCCGGGTCCCTAGCCATGAGAAGCGTGCGATGATCAACCACAGTGTGTGCTTGGAGAAAGGCATGCAGGTACGGCCTGGCAGGGGCGGCAGGGTAAGGAGAGGAAGAGGAAGAGGGGGGATGGGCACGCCCTGGTTTGAGGGATGAAAAAACGACCCTACCCTGGGTTACAAGTGCGTGGTCTGTAAACCTCCTGGGAACCCCAAACGCCTGGAGCCGCCAGCACGCGGCAAATCACGCAGGGTTTACCCTGTCAGCCCACAGGAGTTTGAGCGCACAGCGCCCCGTAAACCAGGGTAGGGGCGTTTTTAATGCCCTTGACTGGTGGCCGTGGAAGGCGGCGCGGAGCGGCGGTGGCCGCTGGCGCCGTGGTAGCCGCGGTGATTGCCGCGGTGCTGCCCACGTCGAGTTGCCGGGCCCCGGGCGCTCGTAGTGGCGGTGGCTGTAGCGGTCGGCGTCAGGGGTCGGTGGGGTTGAACGTCCTGGTCCTCCTCCCTCTCCTCCTCCTCCTCCTCCCTCTAGGGAGCCCACAAAGGACGTACGCGCCCAGCTATGTACATGAACACGGCCACTTGACCCGCGAGACCTGCCGCGCGATACGAACACTCGCGCAATGCGAACTCTCGAAACCAGCGTGGATTCATGTACATGTACGTCCTTCTTTCGCTCCTGACCCTCTGCTCCTCATCCCCCATCCTCCCTTTCCTGCTCCCCCCCCCCGACCTCGGTCTGCCCTCCGCCGGCGCGGGCGCGCCTCCCACGCCCAGCGCAGTCTGCACTGGTGGCGCGGGGGAGGGCAAGTAGCCGCCGTTCATAACCACGGGCATGCCGTTGATAACCTGCTCGGGCTGGGGCCGAGATCGGGTGCTCAGCGGAACCACAAAACAGCGCGAACACAAACTCTCGGAGGTCCGCGCGGCTTGCCTGGAGAGCGCGCCGGCGGCGGCGCCGGAGGCGCCGCCAGCGGTGCCCAGCGCCGATCCAAGACATCCGCGCGGAGCTCTGAGCGCTTACGTGCACGCAGCTGTGCCGCCAGAGGCGGCCCTGGCCCAGGGTGCCCCTGGCTCTCTGCCCCGCTCTGGAGCCCCAGGAAGCCCGTTGGCCTTCCACAGGGGTGCTCTGGAGGCCGGGGGGGGCCTCCCCGGAAATCCTGGGGACACCTTGGGCCAGGGACGCCATCTTGGCAGCATCCGACGAGATGGAGGAAGAGTCACAGTGAGACCGGATCAGAAGGATGGGCGGCAAGGATGCACGGCCCCTGGACGCCCAGACTATGCCGAAGTCGGAAGCTCATGGCCCGTGGCACAGGGTCAGAATGGGCGGGGAGGCAAGGACACGAGGGCCCCTTGGGAAGTTGCTCGTCCTGCTGATCCCTGGAATGCTGCGCGCACAGAGAAGGAGTGTCGCGAGGGGGCGGCAGTCCCAAGAAGGCGGGGGGGGCTTCGCAGACAGCATGGGTCTCCTTAGAGGCTCCTGGATGCTTCTGAGAAATCTTCTTGAAGCCACGAGTGCCTCTGAGAGGCCACCCGCCGTCTAAGAGACCCCCCGCCTTCTCAGGAGTCATTGAATCGGGAAGTCGGATCGGGTCGAAATGTGCGTCGGATCGGGCCGCATCGGCACGGGCTCGGAATCGGGTCGGATCGGCCGCGACAGGATGCATGCTCAGCCCCACGCAAGCAAAGGCCGCATCGGATCGTCGGAACGTCGGAATCGAATCGGATCGGGGCCGGCCAGAATCGCTATCGAATCGATCGGATCGAAATGAACCCTGAAAAACGGCGGATAGCAAAGAACGCCTGGTCGGGGGGCCGCGCGAGCACCGGCGGCATCCCGAACGGCCTCTACGGGGCCCGAAAGAGTGGCCAGAGGACTTTCGGGTGCCCAGACGTCCGACGACCCGATGTTTTCAGTGCGAAGCGGCCCCGTACAGAGGTCCCAAGTTTGGGCGCCCGAGTTATCCGGGGTAACTCGGGTTTGGATTTCCGAAAAAGGAACCCAAGTTATCCCTGACCCGAGTTACCCCTGATGATTCGGGGCCCTGGACGCCCGAGTTATCCGGGGTAACTCGGGTCCGGGGTAAGTCGGGTTCGGAGTCCCGAAAAACGAACCCGAGTTATCCCTGACCCGAGTTACCCCTGATGATTCGGGGCTCTGACAAGTCCCCTTGCCCGGGGCCAATGGACCGCCCTGGATCACTTCTGACGGGCCTGCCGGGCCCCGAGGACTTCGCGGCGCGCAGAGGGGGGGGTAGGGGGAGGGGAGAAAGCCTCTTAGAAGGAGGCTGCCTCTAGAAGACCCTACATCTACAGACGAGGCCCGCGCCTTCTAGGAAGCAGGGGTGTTTCTCAGAAGCCTTCCTCCCTGTCGGGGCGTTGCCAAGAGGGGGGTATCCAAGAGGGGGGGGTGCAAATCATGACCGGCGGCATGTGCGCGGCCCAGCGGGGGGGCCAGGGACGCAATGAAACAAGAAGAGGCGCCATGAAATCTGGGGAGATATCATGGCCCCCGCCATGATATCCAACCCCCCCTAATCATCACCCCCCTCTTTCCCGCCCCCGAACGGCCCACAGAGTCTGACAGCGGAGGAAAACGCCGGGACTGGAACGACACGAACAGAAACCGTCGGAAGTCCGCGCGGACTTCTGGGGTCGGCGCTGCCTCCTGCGGGGCCCTCCAGCGCCGCCTGTGGCGCGCTCCGTGCGGCGAAGATGAAGGGGCCCAACGACGACGCTAGAAATCCGCGCGGACCTCCGAAAGTTTGTGTTCGTGTTTTTTTCTCCTTCGAGGATTGCACAAATGATTACAGACAGATAGATACACACAAATAAAAGGCTTCCCCATATTTTCCCATATGTTCTGGGTTTCTGTCTTCCCCACCATTTCCCATATTTTTTACTATATTTTCTGGGAGTCGACGATTCATTGTGTCTGTGTGTTTCCTTCCCTCCTGAGAAGAGCGGGGCCCGGCGACGACGCCAGAAATCCGCGCGGACCTCCGAGAGTTTGTGTTCGCGTTGTTTTTCTCCTTCGAGGATTACAGGGGTCACTGAAGGGGCCCTGGGGCACACAAAGAAATACACACAGATAAAAGGCTTCCCCCTATTTCCCATTTTTTTATTTTTTTTGGCTTTTGTCTTCCCCACCACTTCCCATATTTTCCCATATTGTCGGGGAGGCGACGATCAATTGTGGCTGTGTTTTTCCCCTCCTGAGAAGAGCGGGGCCCGGCGACGACGCTAGAAATCCGCGCGGACCTCCGAGAGTCTGTGCTCGTGCTTTTCCCAACCATCCTGTGGTGTTGGGTCCTCGTTTCGAAGAGACGGTGCCCCGCGTCTCTCCTCCTTCCTTCCTTCCTCCTCCCCCTCCTCCCTCCTCCCCCCTCCCCCTCCTCCCCCTCCTCCCCCTCCTTGCCCTTGTTAGTGTTTTTTTTTCTCCTCCGAGGATTGCAGGGGTCACGTCGTCGGAGACCTGGGCTCCCCGATCCTCCATCAATCCACAGTCCTCGGTCGGTCCCCGATCCCCCCCCCGATCTTTCGATCCCTCGACCCCTCGATCCTCGATCCCCCTCGATCTTCGACCCCTCGTCGATCCCTGATCCCCCTCGTCCTCGAGCCTCGATGCCCCTCGATCTCCTGATCCCTCGACACCCGTCGCTCGCCGCCTCTGCTCCGCGCCTCTCACGCCGCCGGCCGCGCCTAAGGCCTCCCTCGCGAGGAGGCTGGCCCCCCCCAGAGGTCCAGCGAGGAGCCAAAGAGGGCGACCAGGGAACCTCGGTCCCTCGACCCCCTCGATCCGGTCACCGAGGCGAGGACTACAACCCGGCTTGTAGGATCGAAGACCGAACACGGGGATCGAGGACGAGGATCGCGGACTAGGGTCGAGGATCGAGGATCGAGGCGACCGAGGGCACCTCGTCCTCGGTCGCCTCGATCCTCGTCCTCGATCCTCGACCTCCAGGGGCACCTCATCCTCGGTCGCTTTGACCCTCGATCCTTGTACGTGGGTCGCCTAGCTTCGCGCAGTGCGCCCCGCGATGCGCCACGACCTTCGCGACATCGCGCCGCCCTCTTGGAGAAGGGCACGCCCTCAGCCCTAGCCCGCGACGCGCGAAGCGCGGCCATCTTCGCGCCCCCCCGTGGTGATGTAGTTCTCGATCCCTGGCAGTCAAGGATCCCTAATCCGTCATGAAACACACAGGTCCTGAGGGCAGCAGCTCCTGGACCCTGGGGCGGCCTTCTCCCAGGACCACCCTGTCGTCCCGAACCGTTTCAAAATAATCCCACGTCCCTCGGAAAGTCCTCGGAGCTCGGTACGGCGACCAATCCTCAGGACGCGCCCGTTTGCTCCGCGGCGACCCACTGAACTCCGACGCTGCGAATAACACTTTCCTGGCGAAGGACCCAACCATACGCAATTGTGAATAACGCGTTGCGGGTGCCGCTTTCGATGGGCCACGCAACGCGTGATAGGGCGTGGACGAGAAATCGCGTTGCTGCTAAGTGGGCCTTCGTTATGCTAAATGGGCCCCCGATGTGTTCGATCCAATTGCTGGCTCCGCCTCCTGCTCCCCCTGCTCCTGCTCGGCATGTTCGCCTCTCTTTTTCGTTATGTTCGCCTCTCTTTTTCGTTTGCCTCGCCTCTTCCTCTCGCCTTTTTCAAAATTATCCGCGTGCTTTCGCTGGCAGTTTGTGCGTGAGCCCTCCTGAAGCGCGCCCTTTTTGTCTCTCTGGCCACGGTCCGCTGAATGTGCCTCGATTGCCGGCTGGTTTGCCGGTCATTCTTTCTTGGGGAGCTGCGAAAAAATAATTGTTCCTTCCTCCTCGTCCGCCTGCTCTTGCTCCTGTCCTGCCCTCCTTCGCTTTCGGCCCATCTCCTCGTCGTCATCCCCCATTCCCCTTCCCACCCCGTCCTCCATTCCACTACCTCCTCCGCCATCGGCGGCCTTTGGGCGGCCTTTGGCGGCGTTCGGTGGCCTTTCGGCGGCACGCGGTCCTCGCCGGCCCTTGCAAGCTTCGCTCCCGCCATGGCTGACAGCGACTACGACGGTTGACTAGCACGCGATGGCGGACGACGACCGAGGCGAACGACGACGAGGGACCTCGACGACGACGACGACGACGACGCCTCCGACAACGGAACCCGCAGGCGACGACGACTGAGACCTCGACGACGACGGCGACGATAACGACGTCGATGGACCCAGACGACGACGACGACGACGGCCGACGGCCGACGCACGACGGACGACGGAAGACGGACGACGACCGACGACAAAACGACCGATGACCGACGACGACCTGAGGTTACCGGAAGACTCAGAGTTGTTCGCCGGGGTTCGAGGTTCGGAATTCGAAAATATCGTCGCCGCTTTCGGCCTCCCCTGCAAGGGGGGGGGTCCCGGGGGGGGTCCCGGGAGGGGTCCTGGGTCAAAATGCCACCCCCCTCCTCCTTTGGGGCCCCGGGGAAAGCCCGGGGGAATGGTCCGGGGCAGGAGGGGTCCTTGGGGAGGTCCTGGGGGGGTCCTGGGGAGGGTCCCCGGGTCAGAATACCACCTCCCTCCTCCTCCTCCTCCTCCTCCTCCTTCTCCATATCCTTTTCGTTTGTTTCCCCCTCGTCCTCCGCGTTTTTTGCCACCTTCTCCATATCCTTTTCGTTTGTTTCCCCCTCGTCCTCCTCCTCCTCCTCCTCACACATTTCCTCCGCCTACCGTGTCACGTTGTCCTTTAACTGTGATCACACATCCCGTCGCCATCGACGGCCAATATCTTCAGGGTGGCGGCACCGGCCGTAAGGCGTTCACGATATTGTCGCCGCTTTCGGCCCCCGTGGGCCATTTTTG